ATCGGGGCCAGTCTGTGAATCATATGTTGAGCAAAAGTGTAGGATATATGATTGTGCCGCACAACTTGTGCGTGTCAGACACACATAGGCGACACCAACCTGTGCGGTTGGTTTTGTGGGAAAAGCGCTGATTGTGGAGGATTGCGAGAGTTAGAGGGGTGCTGGATAAGTTTGTTCGGGTCTGCTGCATCGGTTGGAGGAGCGTCCGATGAGTGAGGGAGCGGGAAATCACCATTTCTCTACAGTAGAGACTCTACATTCCCAAGAAAATTTTTCTGGATATCAAGTGATCCCACACTGGGGTTGCCAGTGAAGAAAATTGATACCCTGAAATTAGCGTAATCATTGATTAATAACTAATGAGTACATACGGTATTCAGGTCTCTTAACGATCAAATTTCACTGTGTTTGTGGTTTTTAGCCAGTCGGATCGATCGAGCCGCATATTCGGGGATGAGTCTCAGTGTTCTATGACCCAGCAATGACCAGTGTGGGAGAATAGGCACATGGTCAACTACATGTTTTAGTGATATTAGAGAAAATCTGAGGAAATTTAGGAGAATTCTTATTGTTTTGCTGTACACCTGTAGCAGAATTCGTATGTAGACTTGTATCATGGGTGCTCGCTTTTCTAAGCTCTGCTGAGAAACGCGAACATATATTCCAGCACTGCCAATGACTTTGAGATAGTGTATATCCTACTTGTGTCTTCCGAAGGGTGGACTATGATGTGATTATAGATACCTGGTGTAACTGTTCAGGTGATGTCATCAGCATTGGTAAGTCTACAGGGAGAATCATCGTACTGGGTTGGAGTTATGCCTCTTGAATTGGGAGAGAGTTGAGAAACCTGAAGTACACATATCAGAAGTCACTGCTCATGCCCGTTCATCTCAGCTCATCTCCTATGTCAGGTTTTGGTATGTAGGCCTCTCCAAAGCCATCAACGGTTTGTTCCGAACGATTTTTGGCAGTAATTGCAGAGAGGACTTCATTAAGTAACGTTGTCTATGCATGGTCATTGCTTGCATGCCTTCCGTTTTTCTTCTGCCTCAGACCTGTAGACTCAACTGGTGGAGGAGCCAAGACGGTATGGCTCATCCTGCCCAATGGATTCGAAGTCGAATCGTTCGGGAGAGTAATCTTCTCAACGTAACTTGATGATGAAGCGGGTAAAGGAAGATATGGAACCGGTTCGGTAACTTGTGTCTCCACAAGTGGGGTAATGTTGGAACGATGGTTACTCGATTTGGACAGGCTAGATCTAGCCGTCGGTACTTTACTCGACACCGAGGGTTGCTTCATGCTCTTAGCACGTTTAGCAGATGTAGCGACCTCGTCGGTGATGGAGGTAAGGCTTCTCATTCTACTGGTAACGCCTGCATCTGCTGCTGGTTCAGGCTGTCTTATATTTACATATGAAACACCTGAGGAGGTGAACTCTGAAAGACAGGTGAAGTATTTACCCTTGGGTGTTGGTTTGGCCTTCGCCTTCACCTTGGCTTTCCCCTTGGTCTCCGCTTTCACCTTCATCGCCTTCGTGTTCGGATCTGCTTCCGGCTGTTCTTGACGATATCTCTCTGGTTTCTGAAGCGTCTTTCCGGCAGCGGCACGTGTTTGCATTTTGACGATTATGGCAAAGCTAACAAGATGGTCTCTGGCGGACAGACTGTCTGCTCCCGGCTCATGTCTCACTCGATTGATCCAATGAGGACTGCTGGCTCGACGGTGTTTCAATCATGTTGAAGTACCTTCCTGACTGGCAATCCCGACAGGTGTTTCACCATTTAAGATTGTTTGTAAGAGGCAATCAGCCGATCATTATATTTAGGTATGAATTGTGAATGCCTGTATATCTCCTGCAAAGTAACGTACTGTTTGGATGCTCCAGGTCCTGGGTGCCAGGAGTATGTGGGACGCGGGCTTCTGCTAATAAACACTCTCTTACTGGCAGTTGAAGTCGAGCCGCTGAACTCACCCATGTATCGAAGAAAGCGTCCTATGTGATTATAGCTGAACTCGCATAACCGCATGTTCGCTCGTAGTTTCTATCCATGTTACAGTGACCCCATCTGAATTTGTTGATTGTTGCGTTGAGCGAAGTGTTTCAAGGTGTCGGAAGAGAGACTCTAAACTACAGAAGGCGAATATTGTCCCAGTACGGAACTTGATAATACTCGTAAATGTCGGACAAAGCGTCTAACTAACGCAAAGCAAAACCTCCAGTAAGCCGACTAACGAATAATAGTAGACGTACGTATCACTTGACTGACAGAGACATCAATATTTAATTCCAGAAGATACATATTGAAAATTTTAATCTTGTTGGGATTTGAACCTGGGTCATCCGCATGAAAGTCGCGCGCTCTCCCTGTTAGACTGGCATTTTAGGGCGTTTAGTACCAGCGTCAGGAATTTGGTGCTGGATTCAGTTTGAGGGCAGATTACCTTTGGACATCTGTCTCGAATGCGCTCGCCCATAAATGTTTAAAATTTATCTGACAATGTAATTCCTGATAGCTCCTTAATAGTATTAGCTTTCGATGAGGCTATTAATCTTCTTATTTTTGCGACACGAGAGCTGAATCAGCTCAGCTGATAAGATGAGATGGCGATGTTAAAAAAAACAAAAAAAAACCAAAAAACAGCGGAGATGGACTGGTCACCCTCGCCGACTATCGAAGACCTCAAAAGCCGCTGATGTGTGCGAAGCATTGGCTGGCCGCCTAGCCGAAATCGGCTTCGAGTGAGAGAGAGAGGGAATCTTTTAGTCGGTGACACCGACTCGGTGTTGTTTTTGCATTATGGCTGAGACTGCAGTAAGGATAGTGTACCGGCATTTCCTAGTAGTACACTAGTACACTAGTAGTACGCACACTAGTATATCGACTGGATTTATCCGAGTCCAAAGTTGCTCCTTCATGGGTTCTGCTGTGGCGCCTTGATTTGGAGGTGGGCCATTTTGACTGCAACTTCGAAGGGGTTGGTGGTAGAAGATTACCACTGCCACAACTTGTCCTAACCATAGAACCAGCTGAACATCCTGTTATATTCGGGTATGTGGGAACAGATCTTGCTAACGAGTGCGAAATCAGTCTGCCAAGCCATCGATATGAGATAGGAGGTCTTTGCTTTCTGTATGACACATACATATGTGCATTCGCGTCTCGTGGACATGGTCTGAAGGGCATGATCGTATATTTGTGCACCGAATCAATAATTTTCATGACCCCTTCGTATGGTCTTTCTCCGTTCCGTGATGTGCAAATATCTGACTTATGGATGGACAATAAGGGCATAATACTGTGTATCAATGTGGCTGACTCTCGGTATGAGATAGGAGATGAAGAGCTAAGTGAGAACCGTGATGATAGCGGACGATCATTCTATGTGAAGTATTTTGAAATAGAAGGATCGAAACTTTAATAGTCATTTGTCGTATCAGCTGCTCTAACACGGCATGTCTATTATTTCGACTCGTTGCGAAGCTGTAAGTATTCGTAGCATTCCGAAGTATTTTATGTTATTTATTGTACTCGAGGTATTTGGAGGTAGAACTCCTATCCAATAACAAAGTCTGTAATGCAATCAGTTTACATCAGTATTATCAATTTTCATCAGCCGTAATCAATCCTTTTCCTGATCGTTATGAGTTGAGTTTATACATTACTCGCTAACTTATGGAGAGATTAGTGAGATTATCCGTGAGATTATCAAACTCCCATTCCCGTTCCCAGTAGGAAAATAACCAGATATACCAGGCTATAATCAGAATCTGATTATAAACGGTATATCTGATTATCAGATATACCGTTTTAAATGCCCTTATCATGTTGTGTTTCAATACTCACGATCTAACAATGTTATTATCGAACACAATACAAGTGCAACGTGGAATTATTCTACTAGAATCAGGTGCGGACCAATAGTCGACTGCCATTTCGCACCGGAAGTGTATATCACACTAAACTCAACACAGAAATCTATGCCAACCTCAACGCTCAAAATATCGCGGAGACAGACGGTGTAAAAAATCGGTGTGTATACGCTTCATCAACTATGCTCAGCTATGGATCATAGCCAATGACTGACTCAAAGAGCTCGTGTTGTATACTTATATCACGTGTATGAACTCGCATGTTAATCCCGAGAATCCCGAGTCTACCAGATATCCGACTCGGATAATCCGAGTGAGTTCAGTACATGATGTGATTGGTCTAGGGCGGAAGAGGTCTCGAGACTTCCGAATCAGGAGAAGTGCCACGAAGAAACTATCCCTAACCGCCAGACTTCTCCAAACGATCATTCCACTGAATCTAGTGAGAAATATTGAATGACGTATAGCCGTTAAACATTCGCACGTTAAATCCGTCCCCAGTTGCCTCGAAAGGTTATGACTCCTAAATGTTCAATGAGATCTAGTAAATCTGATTTACATGCGTGTGTGATGAGTAAACATGTTCGCCCAAACGTGCGTGCCTTTATATGTAGTGTTGTATCAAACAATTTGCTTACAATTGCAAGGTACGGGACCGAAAGACATATGCGACATATGCGTTTGAAGATAAACTGTTGAAGCTTTGCAATCAATGTGATCCAAACGTAATTGGGTGCCATTGGTCATCTATGCTAATATCGCTAAGTGTGAAAGCTTCGAGATTGCAAGATAGCGTTATCAACTCATCATCAACTGTCCAAAAGTGCCAACGACAAGCTTTGGACAAGTTTTCGAGGGAAATGCAGACAAATCCACCTTTGGACATCACTTGGACAAGATGTTGTCCAAAAGAGGCTGGATGTCCTTCTGGACATGTCGACACGTATTTGTTGTCCAAAAAACCTGTCCAAAGATCACCCATGGTGTTGCTTTCGACATTTCTTGTCCAATTTGTACATTTTCGGGCGAGCGCCACTACGTTTCAAGTTGTCGAAACATAGCCCATGGGTTGAGTAATGGACACCTTGTCAAGCATTTTACTTTGGACAAGAAAGCTGATGTGTCCAAAGAAGCGCTTACGGCGCAGGATTCCTTCTGTGCGGTACAAAAACCGTATGATATGCCTCAGACTTGGGACGCAATATAGAGGAGAGCAATGTATGGGGTCAGATCGTATATTGCAGAGTTGAGCATTGTTGCTCTATCTACGGTGAATCCTAGTAGACCCGTTGGTCTTATCGCTTCAGATCTTTCTGTATAAATCCCCATCCTCTTGAATCGTGTGGTACCACACTGGTAGACGCCAACATTGCTACCGTGGAGATGAATCAACCCAGAACATGACTCGTTTTATCGCAAGTGCTGATCCGGCTCCTCACTTTTTATGCGCAACAGATCTAGGCTTGTACTTTCGGACCCAGGAACGCAGCAGGAAGCAGCTTGCCTCCTAAGTGGGACAGGAATTGTGTAGAGCATACGTATGTGGTTCGCTCGCCCAGACGTTTCTGGTAATTCGTAACTCCCGATAGCTTTCATCTCACTGAACTTCATATGACAATTCATCAACCTGGTATAATTCCGAGGTTCAGCAACGCGTCGCATTGTTTGGACTAATTCTATTCCTGTAGCTTATAGTCTTTCCAGAGAGCTTCATATGATATCGACAATCCTCGCGAGTCTGCTGTGCTATGTTGCGGCCCTCACCCCAGTAGATCCGAACTACGCCTGCACTCTTGCATGCGAGTCTACGCCAAGTTGTGCCGAAGATCCACAGGCTCATGGTTCCTTCTGCAAGTACTGGCTGAGCCCGTCCACTTGCTTTGGCTTCTATGTTCGGGATAATGGTTCACCATGCTACCAGCCCAATGATCCTACTTGTGACGATGGTGTTCTACAGCCACTGCCTTGTATCGAGTCTCCTAAGGCGACCACGGAATCGTCGTTTGCGGAGGGTGACAGTCTGCCTGATGACGATTATGATGACACCTCAGAGCCTACAATCAACAACACTGCGTTTTCTCAGACTTCGACTACCGATTCTTCAACTGCAACAACTACTGAGGTTCTGGTAGTGACAACTGGACCTGGAGAGGAGACTTCCGCTAAGCCTCTGCTTGAGACTAGTGCACCATCAGCTGGAACTTTCGCTGAACCTCCGGTCGAGACCACTGTTGAACCTCCAGTCGACACCACTGCCGAACCTCCGGTCGAGACCAGTGTTGAGCCTCCGGTCGAGACCACTGTTGAGCCTCCGGTCGAGACCACTGTTGAGCCTCCGGTCGAGACCACTGCTGAGCCTCCGGTCGAGACCACTGTTGAATCTCCGGTAGAGACGACTGGTGAATCTCCAGTCGAGACCACTCCTGAGCCTCCGGTCGAGACCACCGCTGAGCCTGCGGTTGAGACCACTGTTGAGCCTCCGATCGAGACCACTGCCGAACCCTCGTTCGAGACCACTGTCGAACCCTTGGTCGACACCGCTGCTGAACCTCCAGTGGAGACAACTGCTGAACCTCCGGTGGAGACAACTGCTGAACCTTCAGTCGAGACCACTGCTGAACCTCCGGTCGAGACCACTGCTGAACCTCCGGTCGAGACCACTGCCGAACCCTCGGTCGAGACCACTGTCGAACCCTCGGTCGACACCGCTGCTGAACCTCCAGTGGAGACAACTGCTGAACCTCCAGTGGAGACAACTGCTGAACCTCCAGTGGAGACAACTGCTGAACCTTCAGTGGAGACAACTGCTGAACCTCCAGTGGAGACAACTGCTGAACTTCCAGTCGGGACCACTGTCGAACTTCCAGTCGGGACCACTGTCGAAACTCCGGTCGAGACCACTGTCGAACCCTCGGTCGAGACCACTGTCGAACCTTCGATCGAGACCACTGCTGAACCTCCGGTCGAGACCAATGTTGAACCTCCGGTCGAGACCACTGCTGATCCTCCGGTCGAGACCACTGCTGAATCTCCGGTCGAGACCACTGCTGAATCTCCGGTCGAGACCACTGTTGAGCCTCCGGTCGAGACCACTGTTGAGCCTCCGGTCGAGGCCACTGTTGAGCCTCCGGTCGAGGCCACTGTCGAAACCTCGGCCGAGACCACTGCTGAACCTCCAGTGGAGACAACTGTCGAGCCTCTGGTCGAGACCACTGCTGAATCTCCAGTCGAGACCACTGCTGAATCTCCAGTCGAGACCACTGCTGAATCTCCGGTCGAGACCACTGCTGAATCTCCGGTCGAGACCACCGCTGAGCCTCCGGTTGAGACCACTGTTGAACCTCCGATCGAGACCACTGTCGAGCCCTCGGTCGAGACCACTGTCGAGCCCTCGGTCGAGACAACTGTTGAACCTCCAGTGGAGACAACTGTTGAACCTCCAGTGGAGACAACTGCTGAACCTTCAGTGGAGACAACTGCTGAACCTCCAGTGGAGACCACTGTCGAACTTCCAGTCGGGACCACTGTCGAACTTCCAGTCGGGACCACTGTCGAACTTCCAGTCGGGACCACTGTCGAACCTCCGGTCGAGACCACTGTCGAACCCTCGGTCGAGACCACTGTCGAACCTCCGGTCGAGACCACTGCTGAACCTCCGGTCGAGACCACTGCTGAACCTCCGGTCGAGACCACTGCTGAAGCTCCAGTCGAGACCACTGCTGAACTTCCCGTTGGGACAACTGATGAACCTTCGGTCGAGACCACTGCTGAATCTTCGGTCGAGACTATTAACATGGTTCCGGTCGAGAGCAAAGCTCCGACGGAACCTGTGGTTGAAACGAAGACTGCTCCTGCTGGAACGATCATTCTCCTCCCTGCCACGTCCACAATACGGATTCTTTCGTGAGTGCAAACCCGCTTTGCTCATTATTTTTGTACCGTATATAGTCGTATATAAGTATGAAGTCCATATCACACTATTCAACTACATGTGAGTGTGTTTTCAATCGTTGCAGCCGTTTGTTGCGTTCACGCTGTGGTTTGGAGTGGGAGGTCATACGCAGACCTGTTCTTGAGAACGCCAGCACACACTGTTTTCTCTTCCTAAAACTTCATTGCATCAATTGGTTTTTAACACTTCGCAGTCAAAAACCTCGAAGATGCGGCGAGTCGAACTGGTAAAGGAGAAAAAACGAAGATACTGGCTACAAGCAAGCTTGATACAAACAGTGTGATGTTAAACTAATGACATAGGGGAAACTTACACACAGTTTGATGTGCATCACCTTTGAAGACTTTCCTTTCCTGTTAGATGCGCGCATTGAGATCCTTACAACCTTCATCCATCATTAATTTGACGAGATGGGCATGGTTTGGTATGATGGTCGTTCGTAAATCCTAGTGTTGTCAGCCTATCAGTTCCCTCCACTCATCCTTGTTATGTATCGATCTAGGGCCCATTCGCATTCGTCATGCAATTCCTCGGCCACATTGATAGCTCACAATGGTGCCTATGTGTGTTCAGTAACCTAACTAGCCATTCTGCCGCCCTACAGAACACAGTGCAATCTATGGAATCTAATTCGTTACGTGGCCCCTCCTACACACTTATCACATTGTCGAGTTTCCACTACGCAGTAATGAAATCTCCCAGGACTAGCGAGATTAGGAACCCCGGAAGGACAGGTTAAATGGGATAGCAACTGCGGTCGAGATATGTACGTGTTGACACATAAGTGTCAACGTATAGATAAGTTATCTATACGTTATCACTCAAGGTGAGGTTACGTTATAGATACACTCACGTTATCACTGTTATCTATACTTGAGTTATCTGAGATAACTCAAGTCTTCTGGTGGAACATCCACAGATTGATGTTCGCCTAGTGGATCTTCATCAGCATGATAAACGTCCGAATCGTCGTAGAGGAAAATCTAGAGTTGTTTTTTGTGCAGTCGTACTGAATGGTACGCGTGCACCAAAGTATTGCAAGTTTCCAAGTTGAGTAAACAGCATTGCGGCTGATTGTTCGCAGATTCAAGTCTTGGTGTAAACACACGAAGGTAAGACCTGAAGGGGTCTTGTCTAGACTCAGACGAATCGTAGGATCCGCCGGTGATTGAAATATTTTCCCCAATCTCACAAGTCTTCAACTGACTTGATCTCGAATGTGTCTTAGCGGTATTCTCAGCAGTGAGAGCCCATTCTGTCATCTCCTTGTTGCCTGTATCCTGAGCTCAGCCGCGGCATAGTTTAGATCAGCTTCAGAACGAACTTCGCCGTCTTAGGATCTAGCTAGAGTCGTAGAGGAAGCCTCTGTTGAATTCAGCGATACTCAGTAGTTGGTACTGAGGTGTTGCCATTGTGTCCAGCAAGGCGTTTCAGAGTGGCTAGTTAAATGAGATCGATCTTGGAAGGTCATATTTTCTGGCATTGCGATGAGTATGGGTGGACTGGGGAGGCAGGTGGAAGCGACAGCTGATAGAAAACGAAGTGCTGAATCAGTGGTGATGGTGTACAGCTTGAAATAATTTCAATTGAAGTCGAACGACTCGTTCATGATAAGTCGTGATTTTCTCTTAGGGGTATACTTTAAAGGTGGTTGCGTTGGCCTAGGGTGGGGTGTGAGTTGTCTCATTTCCAGCATTGATCGCTCGTGTTGGGATCAACATTCTCTCGTCACTTGGTGATGTCTCTACCGTCCTTAGCAGTATCTTACTCGCAAGAGGAGAGGGCCCTGATGCTCGATGATGCAGATCGATATGCGGTCACTGTATTCTTCATGGTAATACAAAGAAAGCTCAGCGTGAGCAGTTGTGATTGCGATCCTGGTCAGATCGGTTTGGCTATATGCCTCTTTGTGGTTGACGAATTCCGCGGTACCAGACCGAAGGCCTCGGCGGCGTTCATGCCGGTTTTCTATCCCGATGAGAGTATTCCATGGTGAGCTCATGCAATTCCTGGCTCTGATGACTGTGGTTGAATTAGGGCTAAACTGAATGATTATGAGTACTTCTCTGGCCTGTTCGGTCTTGGTATTCAGAAATGGGCTCTGTGGAAGTGGGCGACGAAAATGGTTCGCCGTAATGCTGCTAAAATGACCAGAAGTAGTAGTCGGGTTTGGCTCTACAGAGGTGAAGAGGATTTCCTGTTAGAGCCGCACAAGGAGACAGATGAGCACTCATACCGTGACATGGACCTTCCCTGGACCACCGTTGTCCATGCTTACATCGGTTATCTAGTTCTCTTCATGAAGGGCATATTGAGAGAGTGCCTCTGGACTGTTACGTTCAACAAAAATAAGAATGCCAGTGAGAACTGGTGCCCACAGTGGTGGAAAGAATTCTATACTCAACATATGTAATGGGGAATCGGTCTAGCAGTGGGCGAATCAGTTACCGCAGGTACCGAAGAATAGAGGACTGTTGGAACAGACCGATATGCTCAGCCCCGGGCAGCACCGTTGATGTAGTGCACTTGGCGATCGATCGGCTCATGGGATGAGCGGCTTTGGGGTCAGGTGCTAGTCCGGGCTCGCCATGACCACCTTGCCAAGCGCTTTGGGAAATTCCAACCCACTGGGGAGGTCCAAAAAGGATGCATCAATCTAGCCTCGTACAACTACCTCGGTTTTGGTGGCACAGATGAATACTGTAGGAGAACGTTGAGGGGTTGTAGGGCATTTCGAGGTCAACAATATCAGGCACTCCGTTAGCGATCAAAGCACTGGACCAGTATGGACTCGCGGTATGTGCCTCACGACCGGAATATGGAGGTAGTGTTCTGGTGTACTGTATGGGGTTCTCAGTGGTTGGTCCTTAGGAACGAATAGGCTCCATATTGAGTTCGAGTCTAAAGTAGCGGCATTCTTGGGAAAAGAGGACGCTCTTGTGATGGGCATGGGCTTCGCTACCAACAGTAATACTTGAGATTAGGGGGAGTTGGGAGCTCGCCACAGTGAAGTCCCGGATGATATTGGGCGGATTTCTCATCTGAACTCGTTAGTATATCAACCATGATTAATAACAGTTATGATGGTGATGGTGGTGTTGAGCTTTGTTCATTCCAGGTACCTTCTTGGGCGCATTGGCGATGACTGGGGGTGGATCTGTGGCTAAGAGGGTAATGCAGGTGGTGCGATCGGTTATTCGTATGGGGATGTTTTTAGACTCTTTTTGTATCCGATCAACTGAACCACAAGTCGATCGTGGAAGGTGTGAAGCAAAGCAGTGCCAAGGTCATTGGATTCAAGCACAACAATATGCATGACCTTGAGAAAATTCTGGACAGAGAGACTCGTAATAAGCCAACGTCGTATCCATACCATCTTTCTTTCAAATCGTGGTCATCCAGGCTCGGGGAAATGGGCGAAGATTGTCATATTGGTGGAGGGAATATACTCGATGGAGGGCGAGTTCTGTCGGCTGAGAGAAACGGTAGGTCCTGTGGGACCAGCGGCATGACCTGGTTCCTTGACCAGTGATGGTCAGGTGTCTTTGAAGAATAAGTATAAGTGCTACCTCTGGTTGGACGAGGCTCATTCGATTGGAGCTGTAGGCCCGACTGGGCGGGGCATTTCTGAGCTCTTCGATGTTGGTAATATTCCATCGCATCGCTCCGCTACCATGTTGCATATTTTCGAGTAGATACTTCTGAGATCGACATAATGATGGGGACGTTCACCAAGTCCTTCGGCTCCAACGGTGGCTATATCGCTAGTACAAGCGAGTGCATTCAGGTGAGGCTCGGGCTCACTCCTAGCGCTTTGCAATTTCGGCGTTGGGTGGTGATATGCATCTGAATGGCCGGCTGAAAACAGGAATAATTCATATAGCTATGAGTCTGTATATTTTATGAGGTCTGACAAAAATGGACATGTTTCTCACTCGTGTTAGTTTTGTCTCTCAGCATCTCCGTCGCTGTTCTCTGGGTTGGTTACACGGAGCAGCGATGCCTCCTATGGTCACGGCACAGGCTATGGCTGCTTTGGATTTACTCTCGACTGAGCGTGGCAAGGCTAAGGTGGGATGCTCCTCGGTGTGGTCCTTTGGTTGACCACTGACCAACAGTTACGGGCAGTCCGAGAGAATGCTAACTACCTCCGTAAAGGTCTGATGGGACTGAATCTTCGCGTTATAGGCGATATTGACTCGCCAGTCATCTGTGTTATGCTGGTATGTGCTCAACTGTGCAGTGCTTCTTGCATGGTCCATGCTGTGGTAGATCCATCCTGAGAAGATTGCTCAGTTCTCGAGAGAGTGTTTGAAGAGGAATATAGCAGCGGTCGTGGTACGGTAGTGTGAATCGTGATGGTTGTTGGTCATTGGTGGGCATCAGGTTGGGTACCCTGCAACGCCGGTGATATTGTCTCGTGCTCGCTTCTGTGTGAGTGCTAGTCACACGAAGGAGCAGTTGGACACGACGCTGAGGGTTGTGAAAGAGGTCTCGAGGATTGTTGGTAATAATATTGTGAAGTCGTTTTTCCAATTGGAGTCCTGGTGTATTTTAGGCATCGAATATGGCAACAACACGGACGAGAGGGCAGCCAGAGCGTACAGGAATTATCTTTCCGAAGCTCCCATCATGAGGGAACCTTTACCTGGCTTGGGCGACTATTGGAATCCGGAGCCTCTGGTGCCTAACTATACTGAGGTGGACGGCGAGAATATGTCTAGCAAGAGTAAGCTATGGTGGAGTCGGTAGTGTTCCGTCTTGGTCTTGGCTCGTGTGGCTTCTTGTAGTGTAGCAATATGAAGATAGAAAAATATGACTTTTATGGATTTATTATCAAACTTCGTGTCAGCTTCGGACTCTGGTTTTTGCACTTAGGATGCCCGATATTTCGTATCGTTGTGAATAGATCTGAGCACATATGGTTGGTTCGAATGGTAGGTACATCAGCCACGAACTCTCCTCGTGATGGGCGCTCGAGTGAGTCTGAGGATGAGCATCACAGTATCCCTCTGGTGGACTTCGCCACGATCGATCCATTATCCCTCCAGCACAAGCCAGACGAGAGTCTGATGGAGATCGCGAGGGCTGTTGTTAGGGAGAAGGGTGTTGGTGCTTGTGGACCGAGGGGCTTCTATGGTAAGCATGAAACTTGCTTCTTGATGTTGTTGTTGTTGTTGTTGCTGTTATATTGTTGGTCTTCGTGTTGGTATTGTTGGTCTCAGTTTTGTCGTTGTTGGTCGTAATGTTTTCGTTGTTGGTCTTAATGTTGTTGTTGGTCCTAGTGTTGTTGTTGTTGGTCTTTATATGGTTCTGAAGGTACTACGGTGGAGCACTTGGATTTGGAGAAGGCCATCTCGGAGTTCCTTGGCACAGAGGCGGCCATTGTGTACAGTCACCACACTGTGTCCGACTCTAGCGTGGTAAGTAGTCGTTGGTTGTTGGAGAATTTCGTGGCGCGCGGTCATTGACGCTCATGGTTGGTAGATTCAAGCATTCATAACTAACAACGACTTCGCCATTGTCCATAAGGATGCCAACGCCCACATGTGCACTGGCCTCAATCTTTCTCGTGTAAAGAACATCACTTGGTGGTCCGGCGACATCGATGAGTTGGCCGAGTTGGTCGAAACACAGAGTAAAGACGTGAAGCTTGCTGCGAGGGCTGGCAGGCTGTGGATTCTGATGGACAGCAATTTCGGTGTTGATCTATCGCAGGTCCGTAGATGATCTCAGTACTCGTAAGTGTGTGTACGCTGCTCCTTCAGGTCGTTGATATTAAGGACGAATTTGGAGCTTATCTGCTTCTTGATGATAGTTATGGTATTGGTGCAGTTGGCGAGAATGGACGTGGATATTGTGAATACTATGGTGTAAGTGTAACTGTTCGGGTTCTATTGTGGAGGTCTTGGTTTCAGGTTCCATGCTCCTCTATAGACCTTCTTGTGGGCTCACTTGAACACGCCTTCGGATCTCAGGGAGGGTTCTGTGCTGGTCAGCAGACCACTATTGACCATCAGACTTTGTACGGCAGTGGCTATTGTTTTAGCGCTAGTTCGCCACCGGCCTCTTGCAAATTCGCAGCGGAGACGATGCGCCGTCTGCAGGGTTATGAGCGTCTACATGCTCTCCAAGCTAATGTGGAGCAACTACATCAATGCCTGGTCGACCACGGGGTGAAGGCCCTCACTGATTCTCAATGTTTCGCGCAGATTATTGAGGTCTCTGATGCCCAAAGTATCGCGAACTCCCTCAAGATGGACGGTTTCGCGGTTCAACCTGTGCTCGTGTCACCACTAGAGAAGTTCGGATTGGCAGCGGCGGAGCGAAAGAACACTCTATTGAGAATCTGTGTACGGGCCGATCACACTGCCACCCAGATTGCTGAGCTTGGGGCTTACTTAGGAGAGTTAAACTTGTCTCCGACAACCTCAGTTCGTCACAGTAATGGTAGCAGCAATAGCTGCACTCTGTAGATTATGCTCAATTGATGGTGTTCTTGGTCTTCGTGAAGGCTAGCTGTATAAAGGCTAACTCAGTTGGCATGATGTGTATTTACGTATCCACTACGTTTGATGACTGCACTTCACATTATCACCCATCTGATTATGACTTCAGCATTGATCAATCATTATGGTCATTGTCATTGTAGTAGGTATGTACAAATAACTGATAGAGCGGCTCCTAGGAGAGGGCAGCGACTCCCTAGTGTTTTATAGTAGATCTCGAGATTGCTCATCACATTTGCCGTTATTTACTCCTTCCTACGATCTGCCTTATATAGTTGTCGTCATCTCGCTGCAATTCGTGTCATTGGCAGATTCTTCCTAGTCGTATTACTACTCTTCGTAGCCTCCTAGAGACTCTATCTCTAGGAGGGCTTCACCTGCATAATTTTTGGGCGTCGAATGGTCATTAGTGATACCCGGAAATGCGGATGTTGAAGGAGTGTCGAACACTCCGATCACTTCGCCTCTTTGTTATCACGGATAATACTGTCAAGATTTGCTGCATTCCTAGATTATGTATGGCTATACGACCTACTGCTGCTCCTGGTTGTTGTGGTTACAGTGCTTGAATTGGAAGGGGACAGTAATTGTGTCGATTGTGTCGTTGGGGACATACGTTATGAGAGGCCACCGTCGATCTAGGTTGGGTGTATTAACGTCTATATATAATCGAATTATTGTCTTATTATCAACGAGTAACTCAAAGTATCGATATTGTTGTCGTGTAGAAAGTGACGAGTTTCCCATGGGGTGACCCTAGCCGTTGGAATGATATTGTGCAATATTGTCCCTTTGAGAGTACTAGCCGTGACTGCAGTTCTTCAACGGGAGGATGGGTATAGGAGGGCCTGGAGAAGCATGCTGTTATTGATGGGTTCGTTTTAGCTCCTTTGATTTAGAAAACACAATTCCTGCACAATAACGATGCTTACAGAGGCTGCAGTGCTTCCTGAGTTATCTTGCAACGCTACTTCATGTTCCTTTGCTGGTCTCGCATCTGGCCCCCTTCAGCAGGGCTCCTCTTATGAGGCATTCGCAGATGTCGATACCAGTGTTTATACTCTCACAGTTGTCTTCATGGTGAGTACAGTCGTGATGGAAATATGGTTTCTATTGCTGTGGATTTTTAGGTGATCTTGGCCGTTCTATTGTTCCTGGCCGATGAGACGCGCGGTACGAGACCGAAGTCTTCTATGGCCTACTACACCATATTTTATCCAGACGAGTCAATTCCATGGTAAGCTGGTTGATCAGGCTTGTCGGCGTTCATTGTGCTGTAGGGGTCATTTCCCTTTCAACGATTATATTGGGGGCCTCTTCGGCCTGGGTATAAACAAGGAGACTATTCTTAAGTTTGTCTCCAGATTTGTGAGACGTTCCCCTGCAGGTGGGAATCATCACTGTGAAAGTTGCGAATCGAAATTGTGTGTTTCCAGATTCAAGTCCTAGAGGTGGGGGAAGCCAGTCGCTCAGCCCGAAGTTTGAGCACGAATTCCTCACCTGGCCGACGGTGCTTCACGCCTATTGGCAGTTCGTGGTTCTCTTTGTGAAGGGCATCTCTAAAGAAGCCTTGTGGACCGTCACATTTAGCAAGAATGAAAATGATACGGAGAACTGGAACACTGAGTGGTGGAAAGAATTCTACACCCAACACTTGTAAGGGGCCTATTGACGGTTTACACTAGTCGGCTTCATGTATCATTGTAGGTATCACCGTATTGAAGACTGCTTCAATCAGGTTATCAGCTCGGCGCCAGGCAGTACAATTGATGTAAGCTAGCGTATAGCGTGGCCACTGTTAACTTACTATTCACAGACATGTGCACTTACGCTGAGATGTATCTTTTCCCTTCGTCAGGTTTGCCTGAGAGATCGTCCGCATGATATTTTCAAGCGTTATGGTAGACTGCATCTTACTGGTAAAGTCCGTCGAGGTTGCATCAATTTGGCCTCATATAATTACCTTGGTTTTGGCGGTAGAGACGAGTACTGTACGCCTAAGGTCATTGAGACCATCAAGGAATACGGCTTCGCCTCTGGTGTGGCTAGCCGGGCCGAAGCTGGTGGGAGCAACAGTCTCCATGTCAAGCTGGAGGCGATGGTTGCCGACTATCTCGGCAAGGAGGACGCAGTGGTCATGGGAATGGGCTTTGCTACCAACAGTAAGTTGAATATGGAGTACTGCTTTTTTAAGGTCTCATTTTGTAGTGTGGGAAAGTATACATATATTAGTGACAATATGAAAATTCTGAGGATTTTTCAATTGATTTCTGGACATTTTCACCATAGTTCGTATGTGAACCTCCATGATTAGTGTGAAAATTCCTACGCTCAGCTGAGGAGAGTGAACATATTTCCTAACACTAATTTCATAGGTATGTTGTTGGCCGCTGTAGCACTCTCGTCTCCACAGTATGGTGATAAGAAGGTGAGTTTTGCTGTTGTTGGTTGGTTGATCGTATGGGTTTTGGCAGACATTATTCGTGTCGGACTCTTTGAATCATAAGTCTATCGTGGAAGGCGTGAAGCAGAGTACTGCTAAGGTCATTGGCTTCAAGCATAATGATATGCGTGATTTGGAGAACGTTCTCGATAGGGAAACTCGTAAGTGGTGGAGATCCCGGGTTCGATCCCTGGCTAGGGTATTTTTGTAGGATCTGGCAAATGGGCTAAGATTAT